TTATTTAAAATAAAAATTACTAATTATTTTTTTTAACAAAAAACAAATTATTGATTACTTTATTACTACTACTGTATTGCAAAACTCATTAAATAAAAAATTGTTTACTAGTTTTGTCACAATTTATTTATTTACTTATAAAATATAAATTAAAAAAAACACAAATCAATACACACACAAAAAATTTAATTATATTTTCAATGTTTTATATACTATTATATAGTATAATATCATATTATAATAACAATACATATAGTAAAAAAATCTCATCATTTAATTTATTATTATTACTATTATTATAATATCGTAACAATTGATAAGTAATTACGCAAATTAAATATATAAATATTTTATTTTCGCAATGTATTGTATAGACTGTATATTTAGGTGATATTATATATAAAAAAATTTAACTATTTTTTTTAATGCTATTGTTGTTTAATGAAATTGTATTGTTTTATTATTATTATTATATATTGTTTGCATAGATTTTAATTGCTTTAATCTATAAAAATCATGTAATTTTTGTTATTATTGTTTTTTTTTAAAATAGCAAAATTAACGCCAAAAAAAATAAATTGTTTTATTACTATATTTATATTATATGTATTGAAATTTATTATTTTGTTTTATATATAAATTTTTGTTTTGTTTTGTTACTATTATTATCATTATTAGGATTATATATATATATATATATATATATATATGATATTATATTTTATATTAATCACGATTTAATTTATTTCTAACTTATTATAATATATATATATATATATATACTGTATATATATAGTAAAACACTAGTTGAAAAATAAAAAATAATTACCCAAATTTAACTTAAAAATTTAATAAATACACGATAAAAAATTATATATATATATATATAATTAACAATATCCTTGAAATAATTTTATAATTTAAGCAAACATTATCATTAATATATTAATATATATATATGTATAACTATAATACAATATATAATAAAATTACAATTTATTATATATATTTTTTGAATAGCATATAAAGTAAATATCTAGATATATATATATATACATATAATATATTGTATAAAATATTTACTATCAAATAGATATATTAAAATACTATAATATTATCTAATAACATATGCTATCATATGATATGATTTTTTTGTGGGTATTTATACAATATTTCCTGAAATATAATATATATATATATTGAATATATGAATAATATATCAATATATAAAATGACATTTTATATACAATAATTTTTATATTGCCTTAAGCTATATATATCGATATATATATATATAATATATATTATATATACTGTATATCAATATATATATATAGTATTAATAAATACATTAAATTTATATATATATATATATATATATACACTGTCGGCACTCATATTATATATATTTATATCAACAATAATAACGACAAAAATCACTAATCAATGGCATTGTATGTATGTTTTGTAATCATCATTCATGAAAATAAAATATCTTTCAAACAGTATATATATATAGAGAGAGAGAGAAAAATAAAAATTTTGAATCAATTATTTATTATATCATATATAAAGTTATTGTTGTTGTTATGGATATAAATTTTATTTTATCAAAAATAAAATTAATAAAATAAATAATATGTATAAAATTTGTTTACAAATATTTTTTGTTATCAAAATAATGATAATAATAATAATAGCATTTAATTGGTAATAGCATTTTTATACTTATTATTAATAGTAATATTATTATTATTTTTACTGTTAAAAATAAAATTGATTTATTAAACCAAAAAAAAAAAATATATACAAACATATATATCATAAATGTTTTTATTTTCTATAATAATTAATTGATAATATTAGTTTATCAATTAATATATCAACTATTTTTTTCAAATAAATTTATCTATTTTATTAAATAAAACTATTAATATAAAAATATCAAAAATACATTATATTTATATATATATATATATATATATATATAAATCTACTAATGTACTAGATAAATTAATAATAATGATAATAATATTTAAAATAATCAAATAAACATTGAAACTAATGAGATATATAAAACATTTCAAATATATATATATATATATATATATATATATATATATTATCTATGATTTAATCAATATTTTTCCAGTAAATTTAATTTATTTTGTTATAAATTTATAATACCTAAAAATTGCTAATTGACTTAACATATACAGTATATATATATACATAAATACATACAATAATATGTCATTTAGTAAAAATTAATATATAAGTATATAGTGATGATAAACATGTTTATCAACAACAATATATATATATATATATATATATATATATATATATATATATATACAGTATATTATATTAATTTTATATTTTTTAAAAACTATATTTAATATTTGATAAAAGCATAATTGTCACCAAACATTAATTTGCACTATCCATTTAATATAAACTAATATAAATTTAAATATATATTTTAGTTAAATTGTGTAAATATTAAAAAAAAAATTGTATTCAAACTAAATTTTAACGATATAAAAGCATTAGTCATCAAAAAAAAAATAAAATAAAATTTTTAAAGTTTCAAATATAATCTGCCTTAAAGTCAAATAATAATGTTTATGTAAATTTTAAAATATATTTTATTTTTTTTGTTGTTGAAAAATATTAATCTAACATGAATTACATAATATTTTAATTTTTGTTAAAAATGTCATATATTTTAGACATATATAAATATATATATATATATATATATATAAGTATATATATACCGGTATAATAATCTTTATCTATCTATTAAATTTACAGTTTAGTGTATATTATTATTATTATTATTATTGTAAACATATGACATTTAAAATTAATTGTAGTAAATAAATGTTTTTTTAATGCACTTTAGAAAAATTTTTCTAAAAATAAATGATCTTGTTGAAAAAATAAATAAATTTATTTTGATAATAATCTAAATTAATGAAAATAAGTTGATAATAATAATAATATTATTATTATTATTATCTACCTACCTATACACACATACACATACACATACACATACACATACACATACACATACACATACACATACACATACACATACACATACACATACACATACACATACACATACACATACACATACACATACACATACACATACACATACACATACACATACACATACACATACACATACACATACACATACACATACACATACACATACACATACACATACACATACACATACACATACACATACACATACACATACACATACACATACACATACACATACACATACACATACACATACACATACACATACACATACACATACACATACACATACACATACACATACACATACACACATATATATATTAAATTTATAATAAAAATGCCATCCATTATACTATCAAAAAAAATTGTTGTATTGTTGTGTAAATTTTAATCAATATATTTACTTATCAATATATATATATATATTTATATACCTTATATTACTTGAAATATATATATTTTTTTATTATACTAAGTAAAAAATGCTCTGATATTTAATATACTATAATATATATATATTATATAATACTCTACTTTACACATCAATTTCAACAACAAAATTGTAGGTTTTTTTTATTATATCCCAATTCTACTACTAATACAGTATTTTAATATCAATATATCATATAAAAAAATATATAAAAATTATTTGTCATAAATGTATTATATCTTATAAAAATATAATACTGTATAACAACAACAACAAAATTGTTTTTTGATTGATGATAAATTGCATTAAAAATATCTGTATAGATATATAAACATTTTTTTTATATAAATATCACATTAATTAATTAATTTGAATTGTAATTACTGTTAATTTGTTATTTAATTATTAATCAATAACAAAAAAAATTGCTAACATTTTCTGACACTAATATATTAGTTGATATTTTCAAGTATTTTACTAATAATTTTTGTTAGTAATCATTATATTAAATTATTTTTTATTATCAATTAATTAAATTGAATTACATATATATATATATACTGATCGTATATGTGATATCCATTTATTTGATTAAAAACATATTATTTAATAGATTATAAATATACTGTATATATATAGTGTATAGTATACGGGGTTATAATATATTTATTATATATATATATATATATATACTGTACTATAAATAAATTCAAAAAATAAATAATGGATATTACAGTACATTATAGTTATAATTATTACAAAAAAAATTAGAAAAATAATTAATTAATTTTCTATTTACTAATCTATTGTATATTAATTTATTTTTTTTTGACTGTTTTATTACTCACTTGGAGACTATGTTTAAACAAACATCAAATTTTTTTATATAATAATAATAATAATATAAAAATAATAATTATTATAATTGTTTTTTTGGAGTTCAATCAAAAATGTTTTAATAAAAATTATTTATTTTTGCTTAAAATTTATTTGCATTGACTGTATACAACTGATTATTAAAAATCAATTTAATATTAATGATTATTATTATTATTATTATTTATATTATTGTACTACACAAGTGTGTATTGTATATTATTATTATTATTTTATTTGCTAATTTTGACATTTAACATTTTATATATATTAAATATTTAAAAAAATAAAATAAATAAAATAAACTGGTACATATTTATTTAATTTATTAAATGTTAAAAAATATTTAGCACACACACTCAAACATTTTACAAAAAATATAATTTATTTAAATTAATTAATGTAAATATTGCATTGTTAAATATTTAAAAAAAAAAATTATTATTTTATTTATTTATTTATTATATTAATTCACAATTAACTAAATTAATTTAATATTAGATTTTTAGAAAACAAATTTTTAATTATTTTTTTTTTGATAATTTTTTTCACACACACACCCACCTACACAAAAACATACACTCACACATATATATATATATATATATATCTAATGGGACAGTAGGTTAAAGGCAGACCTACAACGGTTGAGAAAGCGTGGTATCATTAGACAGGGGGCTGTCGACCAGTTGCGTACCTGTGCCCGGTGTCTAACCGAGTTGGGCCGGTTTGTCAATCGGGGTGCACAGTGTCCCCATTGTAGTAAAACTGTTTGCAAACTGTGCCGACACTATGATTTAGGAGCTGCTGAACACAGTAACACCAGCACCGGTAGCCAAAACACATGGCTATGCATTGTATGTCATAAGCAATCGTAAGTTTATATTATTATTATTTTATTTTTGTTTTGTTTTTTGTTTTTGATTAGAAAAAGTTTTTTAAAAAAAATATTTTTGCTAAACTAATAATCAATTTAATATAATTAATAAATTAATTTAAAATAATAGGATTTAATTGATAAAATTAATTAATAGTATATTATATATAATATTAATTAATTTTATCAATTAAATCACATTATTTTAAATAAAAATAATTTATATATTAGATATGTTTGTGTTTTATAAATTCAATTTTTTTGTAATTATTATTATTATTGTTTCTCAACTAATAATAATAATTGTAATTTTTTTTGGTATTATTATTTTTTATATATATATATTTTTAATGAGATTATAATTTAAATTAAGTAAAATTGGATTTTAGTTTTTTATTATTTCAACAAAAATAAAGTAAATATTTGATTTGTTTCGCAATAATTGTCAGTCTATGTTGTAATATCTATAATACCTATAATAATAATAATAATAATCCGATTATTTTTTTATATATAAAGTAGTTGTCAACCAATGATTTGGAAATTTTAGATTTAAAAAAAAAAATTATAAAATATTTTTTAGATTAAAATAGTATTTCGAAATTTATTTAAATTAATTATTAGTTTAGTTAATTTATTCAATATATATATACTGTAAATATAATTTAAATGTATTTAATTTAAAAAAATGTACATGCTGTTTTTTTTTATTTGTCAAGCGAGCACCTGGTGATTTATATCCTACCGGTGCTTAAAATTGTTTTTGTATTTTTATTAAATTGATTGATTGATTGATTATAATGATTACAATTGAATATATACTAAATTTAAATGACATATGGGATTTAAATTATTTTCAAAAAAAAATAAAAATTATATAAAAATAATACAAAATAAAACATATAATATAAGATATAAAGATATAAAACTTTTTGTATATCTAATCAATCAATTAATTACAGTATAAAACTTTATTTTTTTTAATTTAGTTTTATAACATTTATTGAAATATATAAATAAAAATTCAATACTTTATTATCTATTATTAATTTGTAAACTGTTTACAAAAAATATTTATTCTAATAGAAATTATTTAAAGTTTTTTTTTTAAAAATATTTACATTAAAATAATTATTTTATAAAAATTAAAAAAATTGTTGGTGTTAAAACAATTATTATTATTATTATGTAACTATAGTTACACTAATGTATTAAATCGTTGTATGATTTACTTACTATACTTTATATACTGTTTAGTAATTATAATCATCTGTAAAATTAATACAATATATTATATATACAGTAATTATAATTTATATACAGATTGTACTGTACATACATTACAGTATAATCTTTATGTTAATTAATTTTCTAAATTAAAAAACAATTAATTTTTTTGTGTTGAAATTAAAAATCTTTAGTATTAACACATAACAACACCACTGTATTAAACATATATACACACATATACACACACATATACACACGCATATACACACACATATACACACACATATACACACATATACACACACATATACACATACATATATATACACACATATACATACATATATACACACACATATACACACACACATACACACACATATACACACACATATACACACACATACACACACATAAAGTTTATTGCAATATTTTTGAGACAAACATAACGTTTTGTTTTTGGTCCACATAATTAATGTTTGTCATCACTTTTAAATGTAAGGCATATCATTGGAAAGGATTTTTTRTAACCTTTTAAATGATATGCCACATGTTTATGTTTACATTTATTAAGTGATGGCAAACAACAAAAAAGTGGACCAAAACACAACAAACGCCGACCGCCGGAAAACACTCCAGGTGCTATGGGACAATGGCCACCATGACCCGAAATACCTCATGAAAGCATCGGGTGCATCAAGAGCTACGGTATTTCGGGTCATTGAAAGGTTACGGGCGGGTCAAGGTGTCCAACACAAGCCCGGAGCCGGTAGACCTCCCAGTCTGTCAGCCAATGACAGACGACGCCTCACTCAATTGGCCAATAATCACCGAATGCAAAGTTCGGTTGGACTTGCGGTTGAATTGGCCAAAAGAGGAGGACCGTCGGTGTCACCGACGACTGTTTGGAGGTCTTTGCGGCGGTCCGGGCTTTTAAAATGGCTTCCGAAACCCGTCACTAACTTAACACCACTCCACATGCAAAAGCGGGTGGAGTGGTGTCTGGCCAACCTCGATCGGGACTGGACTAACGTCCTATTCACCGACGAGAGTTATTTCCTCCTTTTCCGCAACAAAGTAAAGCTGTGGTCGAGGAAAAGGCCGGAAAAACCCGTACCAAAACATGGACCGGCAATAATGGTTTGGGGAGGTATTAGTACTCACGGGACGTCAACTTTAGGGATGGCCAAGGGAACTATTAACGCCGAGAGATATCAAGATATTCTCGACGAAAACTTGGCCACTGTTGACATTCTTTATCCCCATGGATTTGTCTTTCAACAAGACAACGCTCCCGCCCATACGGCCAGATCAACGAAAGATTATTTCGCGAGGAACGGGCGTGAGTTAATGGATTGGCCACCAAATTCCCCGGATCTCAATCCAATTGAAAATCTTTGGAAATTGATGAAGGATGCGCTCGAAAAAGAGACTGAACGCACCTCCGAGAATTGGATGGCCAAAATCCAACTTATTTGGGAGGTAGAGGCTCCCAAACACTTGGAGTCACTTATCGGGAGCATGCAATCCCGACTTCAAATGTGTATTTCCGCTAATGGCGCAAGAATTAAATATTGATTTTTAATTAAATTAATTATATATTATTTATATTAATATTTTTAATTATTTATTTTATAATAAAATTAATTTATATTTAAATTAATTAACTATTAATTTGTCTCAATAATTTTGGAATAGACTTTACATATACACACACATACATACACATACACACACATACACAAACATATATATATATATATTTAGATAAATTTTTTATATATATACATAAACATAATCACACATACATACACCTATTATAATTATTTAAAAAACATGTTATTTTAATATAATGTGTGCTTTATATATACAGTATATATATATATACAAATAAAAAATATAACATTTGCTGCACTTTATTTTTATAGATTTATTTCATTATGTATTGTTTAACTTTCATTAATACAAATTAAAGTTATGTTTAATATTTACATTAATTTTCAGACATATATTTGTATTAATAAAAATGTTTTTTTTTCCAAACGACATATATAATTAAAATAATTAATTTTTATTTTATGTTTTTTTTGACAATTTATATTAATAATGTCATTGTACAAGGTTAAATTTATTTTAATTAATTGCTATAAATTATTTTTCATTTAGACTATATATATATATATATATATATATAATCTCTAATAATTTATTAGGTTTAATTAAAATAGTATTAAACCAGAAAAAAAATCTGCAAAAATTAATTATAATTATAATAACTACTAATTTTTTTATAATACTTTTGAAACATTTAATTCAAAATTATGTTTTTAGGTTTATTTTGTTATTGAAAAAATGATTATTATTATTATTATTATTATAGAAATTATAATAGTTTTTTATTTTCTATTTGCTATTATTTAATGATAAAAAAAGATAAACAAAAAATTTATTTTTTTTCCTAAAATTTTATTTATTTTACGCAACATTGATTTGTTGAAAGTTTGATATATATATATATATATAATATATGTTATATTAAATAACTTTATTTTATATATATATATATATTTTTATTAAATGATATCCAATAAAATAAATATTATTACTTGTATTGTTTTATTATTATTATTATTAGTATTAGTATTATTAACAATAAAAAATAATATTACCTTTTATTTTGATTACTTTTAGTTTTCTTTCTAATAAACAAAATATTATTTATTATATTTAATAAGATTTTTAAAAAATCTAATTTTTTATTTCAATTAATTGTTTTATATTTATTTTTAGAGACTAAAAAACAATTAAATATCAATATCTTATATATTTATAAATAAAATTTCCTTATAATTTATAAATATCATAAATAAAAATTACAATCATTTAAATTAAATGTATAATCTAACAAAAAGTTATTTTAGATTTAATAAAAACTAATGATTAATAGCTATTTAAATAAATAAATAAATTATAAATAAGATATCATTTTTCTATAATAGAAAAAATGATAAATTATTTATTTCAACAAAATTTAGATATATATATATATATAAATTTATATCTACTTTATATATATATATATATATATATATATATATATATATAATATTGTATTTATGATAAATAAATAGATTTTTTTTGTAAAATACTTAACAATAGTATATATATTTTTTTAAAAAAAATTTACATTTTTTAGTGAAAAAATACTTATCTTAATCCATATCTTTCTGTAACTGTTGACTAAAAATTGTATTATTAGTATTATAACTGATATTTTTTACTGATTTTATTGAAAAAATAATTTTTTTATAATTGAAATGTATTTAGAAATATGATTTAATATTTTAAATACAGGAAAAATGAGATTAAAAATATATATATATTTGAATATTGTTTTATATATACAGTATATTGTATTTATACTTATAATATCCATAGCTAACCAATTATTTACTACTAGTATAATAATAATAATAATATATAAAACACATATATAATGCACAAAATTTAAAAAAAATACATATACAGGTAATACAATTGTATATAATAATAATCATAATAATAATAATAAACTACACTATAAATACCAGTCCTTAAAAAAATCGATAATTTTCAGGATTTTTATTTTATTATAGACTATAAATCTGACTAAAAATAAAATAAAATTATATATATATATATATATATTTTAGTGTAAAATTTTTATTATTCATATGAGATATTTTTTGATACCCAACCAATAAAATTGCTACTAAATAAATAAAATT